CCGCTATTTCTCTTCGGATTTTGGGGCATTCTTTTGACGAAGCTTCATGTGACCCATGACAAATCGAGCATTTGAGGGTAGTTGCTTCGCAGTCATCCACAGAATGGGCTTCCGCGCAACGAGGACACACCGTCCTATTTTCGCATACGCTTCTCACGTGGCCCATCTTCATGCACTTATGACACTGTAAGGGCTTCGGTATGAAAAGTCGCACTGAATGCCGAAAATGGCCCACTTTTACGTGTGAAGGAAGAGTGTCGCCCTTGAACATGATCTTCAAGCAGCGTGAGTTTCCCAAACGGACAACTTTTGCGATGACGCTGGCTTCATTTACCGGTTTTACCAGAACATCGAAGTCGGAGCTGGGAATGGCAGTATCCACATCGTAGATGACTCCAGTGACGACGTTAGAGCTCACAGGAATGTAGGAGCGAACTTGCATTCCCCCCAACTCGTTGACGTTGCGCAGTACATTAAGTGCCGCAGCATGCAAAACGTCGATGGCCAATACGTTCTTACGCGTGTTCACTCTGATGTCTGTGATCTCGTTTGGCACGAGTCCTTCCAGCATCACCGAAACAGATTGCCTGTTGAGGTGCTTTATGTTACCGTCCGGTACCTCAGGGACAAAAAGGATAGTGTTTATCACGGGTCTCCTTGGCACTCTGTCATTCAACGTACTCGATGACGAAGATGTTCTGACGTTCCGCCTCTTCGCTTTACGGCTCAGCACCAGCTTAAAATCGTCGTCGTCAGAAGGCTCTTCGCTGCTCATTGAGTAACCAAGAGTGCCCTCGCTGTCGTAGTCGCTGTAGAGTCCCGTACGCTTCCTGGATGCGGCCACCGCCGACGCCGCCGTAACTGGTGGACGTCCGTGGGGGTCCACGTCCATCACCGACGGACACGGATGTGATAATCGCGAAGTTCACTTAAAATTAGGTGAAAAAAGAGAGCACCTACTGAAACTGCGATCTGCTAAGCAATCACTTCGTCGTCGTCCCAAAAAAAGTGTAATAATTTTCATTACCATTAGTGCTGAGATGGAGATATGTCACGGAGATCGGCATATAAGTGCTTTTATATCAACCAGTCTGTAGGCGCCAAACAGAAATAGACATTGTACAAGCTCTCATTTATCACCGTAGAATTAACGTTAAACAGCTTTTGTAAAAATAAACCGGCAGATCCCACGTATCTTGGTAATCGACGTTATGCGAAGCTTGCGGAGGGAAGGGGACCTTGGTGTATTTTTTTATTGAGCAACACGTCATCAAATGACGCTAATTATATGTGTAAATGTTGCAGGCACAGGCATATGTTGGAGAGTCACAGATGTTTGTGACCAGTTGTTTGCACTTGCGCAACCGTGCCAACAGAAACATGAGTATTAACGTCACAAGAAGCGACAAGCTGTATGAAACGCTGGTGCTCGTGAGGATGGTAATTCTGGACACTGCTAGACAAATCATCTTCAACGCATGGCACCTAAATATAATTGACGTTAATTCGACCCGACGGCTATATCTTAGGTGCACATATGTAATGTACATAAATTGGATAGGCAGCACTATAACCACAATTGACATTTTACAAACACAAGGGTCAAGAAAAGTAGTTATGAGATCTGTCATGGCTCTGTGGTAGAATGCTTGATTGTCACGCAGGAATGCCTGGGCTCAAATCCTGATGGGACCCTGACAATTATTTGCCTTTGTCGGTGGGGGGGGGGGGGGGGGGGGGTCTACGCCGCCGATATTCGGTCTTTAACGCTCACGCGTTAAAATTGTCATGTGTGTTGTCGTCGTTCCTGGTTCCTGGCGCCTGGGGCACATACCCGCATACCATTTATACGTATCCTCACGTGGGTATGTGCCACTTTCTGACGGGAAGTAATGCACCGCGTACACGACGGAATTGTGACATTTTTCATGTCTTGGCCAGCGCGTCATATTCATTAAACCATCTTACTCTTCCATACTAATTTTTGTTCACGCCAAGTTAAGGGTGTGACCACGAGAGCACCCAGACGTAAGCGGCTAGATAGACAGATAAGTAGACACGTACATAGACATCAAAACTACGTGGAGTATGCAAAAAAATTGGTCGCATTTATTTTACGTTACGGTTTCGCGTTATACTGATTCCTTTCTCGAAGGTGTCCGATCACGTATTTTTAAAGGAACCATGAGCTTCTTAGACTTCCAAAATGAACGAGTTGCGTCTGTGTCGCATTCACTACCCGTTGTATTGACTGAATGTCCTTCTCGCGGCTTATTGCTGCATGAAACCCATGGACAATATTGCTGCTACACGTTGAGCAGGTTTTCAGCCTGTCACAATTTCCTTCTCCCTAAAGTGCGTAGCAATTATGGAAAACTAACTCTTAAATTTACAGGTATATCCGTATGGAACAACATACCACTTGAAATAAAGTTATGTCCCACATTCTATACGTTTCGCAAAATGTTTAAAGAGTACCTAATCACAAAACGTGTTTTCTAAACTCTGCCGTCGTGCCTTACTCCTAATTTTAGTATTTCTTTTACTAACTATACCACTTGCTGTTGCACAGAACTTTTCTTGCCTTGTTATTATAAAATTTTAACCATTCTTTGTTTAATTCGTACAAAGTGTTTTTCACTGCTTGCTGCATTGTTATCGCAATTTACTTATTCTCTAACGGAAGTCCCCCCGACAGTTTTCTAACTTCGGGACCTCCTCTGTACTGTAGAATTTTATTCATGTAATGTATGCATTCCTGAAATAAAGTTTGATTGATTGATTGATTGATTGATTGATTGATTTCAGGACTACGCGCTTTGCGGCTGCATGCTGGTAGGCCCGCTGGTGCAGCTGAGACGCACAAAACTAAGTGAAATTAGTTTATTGTGCTTGATATCCATTCGAAACAAGACGGAAAGGGCGTGAGACTGGCAAAGCAGTGCAGGAGGCGCTTCACCAGAGATATTCATACTATATGGACATACGAACAGCTGATTTCGCGTGGACCACCATGAGCCGATGATGGCAATGGGGCGTTCTTTTGGCGTAACGAATTTCACCGAAAGGGCAGGAAACGCTATAGGACAGAATGACGCGCTCCTTTTTGGTATTTGAACCGTTTGCGTGGAGTGTCCCCGAGTGTGTGTACAAATGTAAATGTTTAGCTGATGCGCTGAACCTCCTGCTACCCAGTATAAACACAATTAAGAAAAGGATATTTATGTAGTAAAACAAACTACTATAACTAACGTTGCCTTCGAAATCAGTCTTTTGTAATTATGAGCCCCTTTATGCAGGCACAGCCGATAGCTCTTTCGAAAGAAAATATACCACCATTGGCAATATTTGATTATACGACAGTGGTTGACGTAACCTGTAAGGCGAGATTATGAGATAGCTTCAATGTAAAGATGGGAGGCCTATTGTAGCGTACGGTGGCTGAACCAATAGGTGTCTCTAATACGCCGCAGAGAAATCTATTATTTATTACTTTTCATACACTACCTTTTCCTTCGAATCCAATCATCAGAGCCCTCTAAATATACAATGTCGCCTATCGAATTCTACGCAGCCGCTGGAGCTCTCGTTGCACCATCAGAGGCCTCATCCACAAGACGGCACCTAAGTACGTCAAACACTCAACATCGACTCGGATGAAAACCGTTGCGAGCCACATATTGCCCATGCTGTGTTACATTCTCTATAGCGTAAATCTCAAAGGACAAATGGTCAGCGGCAAGGGAATGGGTCCGTTAGCTCACGCATCTCGATGACTGCCAACATATCGCTTTTTCGTCTACTCCTTGAAGTCCTTGTGAGCTTTATTTGGCCTAGTTTCGCTTTACAGCACGATCCGCGGAGTGCAAACGAAAGACAGAGACGACAGGTAGCGTGAATGACGACAACAGCGGCAACTCGGTACCTGTACTATCTTGCTGTGGCGATGTTGAGGTTTACATTATTTCGGCTACTCCATTTGAATAGGTTATGCTGCGTAAAAGGAAAGAAAAAAATTAGTGGACCCTATAGCTTCACCTTCAGGAGTTGAACGCGATAGTGCCATCCTTTTGCTAATGCGCACTTCAAACGCTTATGGCATGAAACATTTTCGAACATGCTATGCACCAACTACGTGACCTTATAAGAATAGGTGAAATAGCGTGCGTGCCTTTTGTAGTAGGGTACCGGCTTTCAACCACGAGGCCATTATGATAACCACCTATTCTTGCTTTCCGGTTAGCTGCCCTGCCTTTCTTCATCTCTCTCTTTTTCTGACACCCGTTGGCAATGGACAGTTGTACCATGCATTATTACTGCAATATTTTATGTTGCAGAGTGAAGCACGTATACAGGATGCGTGTGTTTGTGAAGCACAAAAGCTAGTTTCCCCGCATTTCCAAGCAGAGGATGTTCTATTCACTATATCCGCATGCAGAGGCGTGGCCATGTGGTAGAAAATCCGCTTGGCAGGCAAACGACCGGGTTCGATCCGCACTCGGATCTAAACAACCCTGGTTTGGTCCCCACTCTACTCCAGTATATTTACCAGTATATTTTTATCAGTATACCAGTTGTGATGAGTGAAGAAAACGACAACGACGGAAGTGCGGGAAAAGGCGCGTGTAATGTGCGCGTGAGTGTCAGCGAATCAGCTGATGACCTGTGGTGGCCCATTGAGGTGGCGTGCCACGATTGGGCCACGGGCGACCATCACGTGGCAGTGGGCTTTGTGGCTGGGGACGAGCCGAAGCAGCGGCAGACGAAAACAGTGGGCCGAAGCGTCGGACGCAGGCGAGCCAGGTTCCGGCCAGGGAACGCGGCCGTCCACGCTGCTGCCGTCCAACCACCAGCTGGGGCGGCATTGCCGGCACGAGTACTGCATCTCGGGGCGCGGCCTGGCCTGCTGTTCTCTTCCTTGCCGAGGGCATGGCGGATCTCGGCGAGGCGTCTCCGTGGTCAGCCGTTCAACACAGCGATGAACGTGGCCTGGCTAATGGTCACGGTTGATCATCGGTGGTGGTGTTGCTGGGCTGACAGCTGCGAATCGCCTTAGCGCGCATGGATTCGAAAATATCACAATCCTGGAAGCTAGAGACAGACCAGGTGGTCGAACGTATTCAAAACCTTTCGGGGATAGCTACATCGAATGTGGTGTGCAGTGGATTCATGGACAAGATGGAAATGTTGTTTTCCAAGTCGCAAACGAAAATGGTTTGGTGGATCACGACTGTCCATACTATCTGGAGCAGTTCTATGTTTGGCCTCAGCTGACCGAAGAGCAATCTAGTGTGGCCTCAGAAGTCAGTTCTCTTATTTTAGAAGCACTGGATAGATGCCAGAAGATGTCAACAAATCGTAGTCGAAATGATACGCCGAGTGTCTTTCAGAAGTCACTTGGCCACTTCTTGCGTCACAGTCTCCTCGACTACATCAGCAAAAACAGTTTGGCCAGTGACAAGGTTCAACTTGTTGAGGCATGCTACGACTGGGCAGTACGATTTCAGCAAGAAATTCAGGGATGCCGCTGCCTCACAGATGTCTCTGCTCTATTTTTTGGCCAGTACCGTGAATGTGATGGGAACATTTTGACTGAGCTGAAGCACGGTTATGGAAAGTTTGTGGATTTCATTTTGCAAGGCTTCCCTTCGAAGTGGCTACAGCTTAACAAATGTGTGACCAGTGTGACAACCTCTGTGGCACCCCTTTCGACAAACACCTGCGTTATGAATGAGAGGCCACATAATCACCTGAAGACTTCTTTTGCAGCTGTTCCTTTAAGTAGCAACAAACCAGTAATCACTGTGACGTGTGAAGAAGGCTCAGTTTACAAGGCAGACCATGTAATAGTCACTCTGCCTCTGGGCTGCCTCAAAGCGCATGCCACGCATATTTTTGACCCACCACTGCCTGAAAAGAAAATGCTGGCTAACAGGTCACTGGGATTTGGTGCTATTGACAAGGTATTCCTAAAGTACAGTGTGCCTTTCTGGAAGGCTGGCGATGTGTTCCAAGTACTGTGGCTCGATGGTTTCAACCAGTGTGGGAACAAAGTGGAAGGGGATGACATGTCTGCATGGGTAACACACAGCCAGCTGAATACTTCCTGGTTCAGATATATTGGGAGATTCATTGCTGTGCATAACCATCAAGATCTGCTGTGTGCATGGATAACTGGGGAAGGAGCAAAGTATATGGGAACACTAAGTGATGACGATGTCCGCATTGGTTGCCACAACGTCCTTGTCCAGGTTCTTGGAAAGAAGGACTTGCCTTTACCATGCGAGGTGGAGTGGAGCAAATGGTACTCTGATCCTTATTCAAGGGGTTCCTACACGTACATCTCAGTGGCCTGTGATTCAACCGGTGCTTTGCCTCGAGACTTGGCTGAACCGATATGTGAGCCTGTGGTGCACTGCGGAACAGAAGTCACGTATCCAGTGTTATTCTTCGTGGGCGAGGCCTACCGGGTGTGGTCCTCGTGAGCCGTGGCCTGATCCTGGACCTCCAGAGTTGTGACCCTGACTGCTGGGTTGGCCGTGACGTCCGATTCAGCGGCGCTACACACGGTAGCGTATCCGTGCGCCGTCAGCCGTTCCACCCATGCCATGAAATAAAAAGTTCATGTTAATCATTTCTCGTCCGCTATCAACAAACATAGTGACGAACGTCCTTTAACCATTACACCAGTATTTTTACCAGTATATCTACTAGTATTTTTACCAGTATTTTCACCAGTATTTATTTTATTTGGAACATTTTCGATTTTGCGGTCATGCATAAGATGATGATTTTTCGCTCACAACCAACGACGCCGACACCGATGCTGACACCAACGCCGGAATCTCTGCTAAACAAGCTCTTTAATGCTATCGCGTTAAAATAATGCTCGGAAAAAATGGTTACCTGACATAAACATTGAGCAGCTAAAAGAACATACAGCACACTCAAACAATTTAGCACGCTAATATATAGAGTTTTTGCAGAAGTTCACCTTGCAGTAAGACGTTCATACGCGCAAATTTCTAATTCTGCTCACAGTGCATCAGCTAACACATAATTGCGTATATAAGAACCCATAGCTCCAAATCACATGTGCTGATTCAGTGAGGTGCCCACTGAGAAGTGTTTCAGAAAAATGTTCCCCTTTTTCTCAAGATTCATTTCAGGCCTTGGTTCGAGTAATTTCTGTGACGCTAGCAGACGCTTGTCCAAACTTGGGAACTTATTTTGTTGTCAAGTTTCCCATTTCATCGCGCACTTTACGTGCCCCAAATAAATTTCCCCAACATTCTGATCTTCGTGACCACAGTAGCATCCCGGTGGGCTGGATCGATATATTTTGTGAAGAAATCTCTTTGAATATGTATAGTTTCAGTGGAAGTCTGTGAAAGAACGTATTTGTGCGCCTTAGGAGATCTGCCGCTATTGATATTTTAATGTCTGAATTATCTTCATAAGGTAATGATTGATTTTAGTGCTATGAAACCACATTACCATAGAAAAGCTGTTACTATAGTATATTGAATATCCACGCCACACTTGAAAATTGCGGAATCTCGTCATTCGATTAAGATTTTATTGGCAAGTCTGTCGCATCGTCATTACCGTTTATTCTAACAAAGATGGGCATCGTTGACTATATGTTGTGACCCTGTGCTCAGGGGTATTGGGCAGTTCTGGCAATACGTGTTGATTCGCCTATTTTGCCATTTTTGGAAGGTGATCTCGCATGTTTGATTTGCGAACCCTGCATAATATTACCCCTTGTCGTGCCCCAAGTTACCTGCTTTAATAATAGCTACTAATTCTGATGCCGCTGATGAAGGTTTGTGTAATAATTTACACATTCTCTTTTCCTCAAGTCCCGGTATAAAGACCGCCGAAGTTGACGCTTTTTCAGTGCGGGACCCACCTGTACATAGCTGCTTCGTCTTCCAATTTTGTATAAAAATGATGAAGCACCATTTGTGCCTCCACTAGAGGTGCCGTGACAGCTTTCTTGCGCATACCATCTATCTCACGAATAATGTCCGGAACCATGAGCGTCCAATGTGCTTTTGATGGTTACTATCATTTATATCCCTGTGTGTTAGTTGTTAGTTTTTCCGATAAAATATGACCATCACGTTGCGTGAAAAATATAAATAAATGTCTGGACGTTTCTGTAGCTTGGAGTACTGCCAAAGGTGGATATCAAGCTTCTGCATTAGCCAAACTACTTGAAATCGACATTGATAGCCCCAGACATACCCGCAGACTTCTTGCCAATAGCAAATGAAGCCTTCTTTCGGTGAATACTGGAAGTCTCCGAGCATAGGCAGGGAGTAACTGTTGTGCCTGCGCAGTGAGAGTGGTTACGCACACCGAATTGAGCTCCGCCATAAGCAGCCTCACATGGAAAAAGCACAGTGATGACTGTGAGGCAACAAATTCCATCTACACTAGTGGCTGCGTCATAAACTGATGCCCCGGAGGGCGTCATCAATCTCTACGTGCACCTCTAGCCAAGTTTTCATTCATTGAGTTTGCTGCCGTTACTATAACTGTAGTTACTGTGTATACGTGCATCATCTAGCGATATCTTTACTCACTGAGTTGGCAGCAGTGTGTAGACCTGAGTGCAATCCCATAATAATATGCGGCTATTTTCACGCACACCATACATTACTGCGTCTCGAGCATAGGGATGTACGGGGATGTGGTATTGTACAGATATGCGAAGACCACGGTTGTGCCATAGTCAGTGACTGTTCTTTAGTGTTCCTGCAGTGAACGTTAAATCACCGCAGCGTACTAACTGTGTGCTCAGATTTGGGTACACGTTCAAAAATCCCAGGTGGTCGAAATTTCCGGAGCCCTCCACTACGGCGCCTCTCATAATCATATGGTGGTTTTGGGACGTGAAACCCTACGTATTAATCAATCAATCAGGCCCTTTACCTACGGCAGTGTCTTGATAGCAGCTCATTTCCTTGTGTAACACCAGCACTCACGTCGCAGGGCAGACGCCAGTTTTATAAAAAAAAAAGTAGTAGATGCAGCGTTCGTCGGCGTCATTTTGAGGTGACAAGCAACGCTGAAGTATGTTGAGTCTTGTAACTACATATGTAAGCGTTTTCCAAATATAGTCTAACCACTGTGTCTCTTGTTTTATCGACGCGAAGTACCTTTAATTTATGACACCGAGTACTTTGTACAGATGGTAAAACTGGAAAGCCGGAATGTGCGACCCCAGTGTGTATATGTGCGTTCATTCCTTACGGTCTATGAAGTATTTCTCCATTATTGGCTACCCCAAACATTTTTAACCGAGTGTACTGATCGTTTTCTTCATTTATTTTTTATGAGCCCGTGGCAAATAGTTGAATTAGCCTTACACCGGCGACACATGAGTTTTATTCGACAGCCTTCGTTCTAAGAATAATAGGGCTTGAGCCTTAAGGAAGCCGGAAGAAGTGATTTTAGCCTCATTTTTCTGCTTAACGAGTGTTTAACTATTTGCTGTTTTATTCACGACCAATCACGCCTCACGTGTGATAAAATCAACACATGAGGTCTGTGCATTATAACCTACACAAAAAAAAGTATATGCATGCTGAAAAGTAATATCGACGAAACTACAACACATACCTTCCTCCCTTCTGTATCTCGTGAGATGCTACTGATTTAATAGTTTAAATGACTTTAACGATGTCCTTCTGGACACGCCCTGCTTATAAATAAATTGCTTGAGTGTATTTTTTTTTTGTAGCCCTTCTATATGGAAAGCATTTTCCTCTGAATCCGGTATGTGGCATATTGTGCAGCATAGCTTGAAGAGAAGAGCTGAGACTATGTTGGCGTCTCGTCAATCACCGGAGCAGTGACCGTAAAAGCCTTCGAGAGCAGACGGAAGCGACGACGTTGAACATAGCCAAGCACTTCGGGCAATATCTACGAACAGGAAGCACGCCCGTCTTCGTTTCTCTCGAAAAGCAGCTGCGTGTCCAGCATCAATCGAATTATTTACTTTTAAACTCTTTGATTTTGATGGGAGTCGTGTTCTGTACCAGATGAAAACGAGTTGCGGCCTTTTTATAATTTTCTACGTACAAGACGGGTCACGCAAGAGGTTTAGCCTTGTGCGTATATAGGAGTTCCTTAAATCACTATGACTTATATACAACGCAGCATTGACTTGTAAAGTTTAGGAGCTTCTTATCATTGGAAACAACTCAGTAGCGTACAGGCTATCCTCACCGCACTAGGAAGAGGTGAGCAGCATTGTAAGGAGGCCTGAATCAACGAAAAAAGCAAAGCAGCGCTTAATGCGTGCACTTGGAAAGCTACACAGATATTCAAGATAAAGTATTTTTACTCCTCTCATTTGTGACTTGCTCCGCGAAAATCAAGCCTATTTTTGCTAGAGCCACAACTCGTGAATAAACTAAATCCTGGGGCTACTTGACAAACAAAAAAGCAAATGAATAACAAATTAGTGTACCTACTTACAGCTGTTAGTTAACCACAATTATGATTGTTATGCACACGTCGCACAGATTTCGAAGCTTTTTGGTTTAGGCACGCACGAATAATCGACTTCAGTTCGGGCATGGGACTCTCGCTGAGCGGTGCACAGCTCACCGAAAATCTCTGTTGCTGTACACTACCGATGTGTCGTTACGAAAGCCTGTCGATAATGTGAATACGTTAACTGATGGTACCTAAAGTGGTTCGCAAACACACGTTCGCCTAACTGAATGAAACCAACAACATATCGTTTTCGCACACCTCGCATATGAGAATTCGGAATGTAACCAGTATATGTGGGTTCACCGTGAGCTCAAAATCTGTTCAATCAGAGAAGCATATGCCACTTCAAATTTGGGTTTCTACTACAAGATTCATAAATTACTCTGTCATTGATGTACGATATTAACATTATTCATTTTGCGCTCTACCAACCTCAACTCCGTCGAATGATCTGCTGCATCTCTAGTTCCACCTTTCTTTTTTCAGTTCCATCAGGAAGTTCTGCTGTCAGTCAATACCTACCTCGGCTTGTAGATTTTTCACATTCCAATTATGTTAGATTTATTATAATTGTGGTAGTCTTGATTAAAAATTATTCTAGTCGAAAATGTCGGATATGAGGTCAAATTTGGTGAGGCCCTCGTTGATGTTTTCACTGGAAAAAAATTAGAAGGCGCCCTGATCTTTAGAGGTCAACGCATGACCACTTTTTTTTTTTTTGCAGCGCATCTCTCAAGAAAGTTTCTATCTTCTGTACGTGCAGTCATAAGTTTTTATGCAGTTGTACTGTAATGATGCACGCATTAGTAGAGAAAAAAAAACCCAAACGAAATAGAAAAACGATCCCACGAATTAGCTGGTCCCAAAAGACAACCAGGCTTAGGGCTTCAGATGGCAGCAATATTTACGTTTTTCACGCGGCTTTTCCTAATCGCATTGTCGACGATTGTGCCTGCAGGTCACGCGAATCAGTAGGGAAAGCCTAAGGTAGGCGCAAATCGTACGATATGACACAGCAATAGTTGTCGTTATGCAGGCTCCCCCATATGACCCACGTGAGAGCATTGCCCCACCTCAGCGAATCCTGTCACTTATGTTTGCGTCCCCGTGTGCTCAGATTTGGGTGCACGTTAAAGAACCCCAGGTGGTCAAAATTTCCGGAGCCCTCCACTACGGCGTCTCTCATAATCATATTGTGATTTTGGAACGGTAAACCCCACATATCAATCAATCAATTATGTTTGCGTATGTGAAGCACTCGTTTACTGCACAATTATACTTACACGGCACAAAAGCATATCGTCGGTTTGGCAGTGGCTAGGCTTTTTTTTTCTGTGGCCCGAGACCACTGAGAGGGGAATTTTTCACGAATACCCCGCGACGAATGTTATGCTGTTTCGGAAGCAAAGGCTGTTTCGGCGTGGAGGGTGTAAACTACACGCATCAGAGAAGTGCCACCGACTGGAATGACATTGCAGTGTTGTAGTGTATGTAACAAAAAAGAGGCACCAAATCAGCATGTTACACTGCAAATGTCG